CTTTCTGCGGAGGCCCCCCCTTGTTCCGTCCCGAGCCGTCTGTGCTCGACTGCCCCGGACCCGAAAGCGGACTCCGGAGGCCGCGGAGCGCGTCCGACTCGAGCGTTTCAAGGCCTCGGCTTCGCTCGGACATGTGCACTTTTTCTCGGCGAGGACCATCGAGGGGCATCTACAGTCGGCCCAGATTAGTAGGTCGACCCTGCCAAATCAAGGGTACCCTTGTGTCCCGTGTCTCGCGACCCACGCTTCCTGCACTCCTGTGGCAATGTGGCCCTCGGAAGGGTCTTGCGTCCTCTCGCGTGTCCTGTCCAATCGAGTCCGACTGTACGATCATCTTGCGGGGAAGGAAAAAACACGAAGCCGAAAAAGTGCACGCCCGAGCGATGGCAGACGACGTTGGCCGCCGGGGGCTGCGGCAACGGCGCCCCCCCCCACCCTGCGGAGAAGCGCCTGCGCCCGCGCGCCAGGGGTGGTCCGAGAACACGTCCAACCTCCGAGTCCTGGTCGCCCGCTCGCGCTGCCATCGTCGTCGTCGTCGTCGTCGTCGTCGTCGTTCCCAGACCTTCGACGCAGCGATTTGATTTGCAGCTCGGTCCCCCAAGGTCTGGACCTCTTCCTGGGAGCCGGCTACTCGTCCCGAGTCGGTGTTGTTGACAGCCCAGGGTTTGGTAAGGCCACCCGGAGGCCGCAAGATGCAGAAACAACAACCATATGTGTGATGTTGTTTTCCCTCCTCGGCGATCTTGCCACTCAGCATGTACACCCCAAACCCTCGATGCCCGTCCTCTTCGTCTCCGATCGTACTTGCCGCGTCCAGTTGGTGCGGCCCCTGCGATATGAGGAGGAGGGGCACAAGGAAACAAGAGAGGGAGGAGGAGGAGGAGGAGGAGGAGGAGGACGGATGGAAGAGATGGAAGAGGGATGGAGGAGAAAGGAGGTGCAGGAGGATGGATCGAGGAGATCCCCCTCGTCCTCCGCCGAGACAGGGTCTGCGCAAGTTGCGCCGCTGTCTCCTCGCGGCCCCGCCCAGCCCCCCTTTGTCGGAGTCGCCGTCGCAAGGGGGGGAACCCCCCTGGGGACGGCGCGGCGGAGGAGAGAGGAGGAGAGACGCGGAGGGAGGAGAGGAGGAGGGAGGAGGAGAGACGAGGAGAGAGGAGGAGGAAGAGGAGGATGAGGATGAGGAGAAGAACAGAGGAGGAGGAGGAGGAGGAGGAGGAGGAGGAGGAGGAGGAGGAGGAAAGGAGGAGGAGGAGGAGAAGAGAGCTCGGAGTAAGGCACGGGCGCGACGCCAAGCGTCGCAGCGGGCACGAGCGCCCCCAGGGCCCCCCCCCCCGCTCGCCGCATGCGCCCGCCCGCCCACCAGAGGGACCACGGCGGCCTGGGGGCGGGAGGACGGCAGCAATCGGGCACGCGTTCGAGCGCGCGGGGAGCGCGACTGCGCGGGGGCGCGCGGAGAGAGCTCGGAGAGCGAGGAGGTGGAACTCGGAGGGGGGAGGGAGAGGATCTCGGCGACTCCGGCAAACGGCTGCGAGCGAGTGTGCAAGCTCGGGCCCTGGCGCCCGACAGTTACACGGAGCTGGGAAGGGCATGCCGTATGCTTTTGGAGGGGCCTACCTTCCGCCAGCCTGTCAAGCTTGCGCCTGCCGGTCGCAGACGGCTCATGGGGGGCAGGGCTGGGCCAGCTTCTGCGCAACGTTGTCCGCAAAGCTCCCACAGCCCCGACGGAAGAGGGAGGAGGAGGAGGAGGAGGAGGAGGAGGAGGAGGAGGAGGAGGAGGAGGAGTTGGAGGAGGAGGAGGAGGAGGAGGAGGAGGAGGATCTCACCTCTCGCACTCTGTGACGCCTTGTCTTTTCGAGTTGCACCGAATCATCTCTGGGATTTCTTTCTCGCTCACCCATGGGAGTCATGTTGCACGGCGCTACGAGCTTCGCTCAAAGCTTGCCCAACGTAAGACAGGAGTAAGCTGCCCAGACATGCTCGCGTCGTGAACAACAATCAGGACGGGAGGTCCATGGCCATTTAGGACCCTGGGGCCTTTACCGGGCCCCGGGGCTGTCCACAGAACGGCTCCGGATGAGAAGCTGTTCTTGTGGAAAGTGTCGTGGCTTCTGGGGACTGCGTATTGGAAACATTGCCCCAGAAGCGTGCAAAGCCCCCCCTGAACCCGGACAAAGAGCCGCATCTTGCAGAGCAGCAAACCAAAATTGCACTGAAGAGGCCGAGAATTCGAAGCTTCCCAGATGGCATCGGAGAAGATGGGGTCAAAGGATTGCGCCGCATCTCCCATACATCGGCGATGCATCGGCGATGCGGCTCGATGTGGAACCCGAGTTTCTCCACGCCGACGTCGCCGATGCATCGCCGATACGTCGCCGATACATCGGCGATGCATCGGCGACGCGGCGCGATCCTCCGACCCCATCTATTCGGACCCGATTTTGGAGGCCACTCATCACGGCCAAAGCCGTCCGTCGTGACTTTTGCCGCGGCGCGAGGGCGTCCTGGGCCGGAGCTCCTCTTCCCAGTCACCCACAGCCCGGGCCCGGAGCAGGAGGGAGGGGGAGGAGGAAGAGGATGAGACGGAGGCACCAGTGTAGACCCAAGATCCATCGACGATGTTGGAAGGAACCCTCCCCCCAAGCTGCATTACACAGGCGACTACAAGGATTCACTTCCACTGAGGGAAGTGTCTCGTTGAGAGACAACCGTTTGACGATCTTGAAGTGCACCAAAACACCGTTCTCGGAACTCCAACGCCACGAAACAACCTAATTGTTGCGTCTTGACGATCCTGAATCGCGCCAGAACATAATTCCTGGAACTTCAGCACCGCGAATCAACGTAGTAACTGTTGTGCCCTGACAATCGCAAACTGCTCAAAAAGATAATTTCTGGTACGCTAGCGATGGGATTTCGTATCAACTCTTGCAATCGTGTAAGACGAAGGCGCGCAGCGCTAAGGTAATAGCAACATGCTGAAAAAGCAGCGTCTTCTATCCCTGAAGCCCTTGCAACTGTTTCAGACGAGAGTGCGCGGTGCCTCGGCGAGAGCCACATTATGAAGACCACCCGCTTTCAATGTGTGAAATGTCTGCGAAAGTTTAAGACGAACGTGAGCGGCTCTAAAGCGAGGCCCACATGTTGAAAATCAACCGCCCTCAAGCCGTGAAACTTGTTCAAAATGTGAAGGCGGATGCGCGCGGCGCTACGGCGAGAGCCTAATTTTGAAAACGACCAGGCCTCAACACGTGAAGCCCTTGCGAATTGTCAAGACGAGTGCGCGCGGCGCTAGGGCGAGAGCCACATGTTGAAAACAACCAGCCATCCATGTGTGAAACGGTTGCCAATGGTTATGCTCCAGGGTCAGAGCTGTTGAAAAAAGTCTCAGGTGAAATGCCCGGCCTGCCCTTTTGACCGGCCTCTGGGTGCGACAGGGAGGAGTTATTGAATAGGAAAATGAATGCAGGGAGGAGGAATTTGCAATTGCGCTCTGATTCGCCGAGGAAACGGTCAGCTTGGTGCGGCACTCACTAGCTGCTGGCAGAAACACGCGGTATCTAGCAGCACGGGCGCCAAGGTGTAAATACTCCGCCCGACCATACCCGTACCAAGGGAGGAGGAGGAGGAGGAGGGAGAAGGAGGAGGAGGAGGAGGAGGAGGAGCAGGAGGAGGGGAGGGGGGAGAGGACGGGGAGCAGGCGCAGGAACAACAGGACGAGAAGGAGACGGGGTGCGGGCGTCGCGTTGTGCCCCTCACCGCGCCTGGACCTGCAACGGGGCCCGGACCGCGCCCCCGAGGGCCTCGACCCTCGAGTGTTCGACCCTCGCCCTTCGATCCTAGACCATCGATGCTGGACTATTCACCAAAGATCCTCGACCATCGATCCTCGACCATCGGTCCTCGACCATCGATCCTCGACTCGACCGCGCCTGTAGCAGCAGAGGCCTCCCCCGCCGCGAGCCGCGCCCCCGCGGGCCTCCCGATAACTGGTGCCGAGAAGCGGCCGAAGTCAACGAGAATCGCCCAGATGTCGGAACGAAAGCATGTGGTAGGAGATCGTTTTTTTCAGATGGGATCCTTGGAAGTCCCGACCCTTTCATCGGGGGTGGAAGCACTTCCTACCCTGACAAGTCGATTAGCGAATTGGCCGTTTTCGGTTCGCGAAAGAGCGTCGCGGCCGTCATTTTTGCGGTTCCAGGTCCGTCGGTTTCGGTCCTAGGCCGTTTTCGCTACATGAAGGTGTACTAAAGGGAGGCTTGTCCACCGCCGATTCAACCAGGACCCGTTTTCGGTGCTGAGCCTTAGTTCGACGGCCCCGAGAGGCCCGGGAGGGGGCCACCAGAGGCCGACAATTGGGCACAACAAAAAAATAGCGTCCGTGGTGCTCCGTGCACGCCTCGCGGGGGCCTGCGTGGCGCGCGCCCCCACCGCGCCCCCACGCGGAATGCAGTCGAGGCCGATTGGTACGTCGGCCCTGCCAAGTCAAGGGTGCCCTCGTGCCCCATGCCTCGCGACCCCTGCTTCTACATTCATGGCACCGGAGAAAAGCCCAGCCCCAGTCCTAATCTCTTCAGGGCTACAGGGCTATAGGGCTATGAGGCTCTGGGGCTATAGCGTTATAGGGCTATAGGGCTTTAGAACTATAGGGCTATAGGGCCATAAGGTTATAGGGCCAAAAGGCTAGCTATAGGGTTATAGGGCTTCAGGGCTATAGGGCTACAGGGCTATAAGGCTATAAGGTATAAGACTATAAGGTTATAGGGGTATAGGGCACCTGGGCACCCGGGCACCCGGGCGTGCCGCCGAAATCGGCGCCAAACCTCACCTGATGACCAAGTCAATCCGCTAGGACCCCTACGGAGGCAAGCTCTGCTTGGGGCATCTGGCAACGTCGGCCCTCGGAAGAGTCTCGTGCCCTCTCGCGCGTCCTCTTTGATCCGCCCCGACCGCACATATCCACTCCTCCCTCACCGCGCCGTGGCCTGCAGCAGGGCCTCCCCCGCCGCGGGCCGCGCCCCCGCGGGCCTCCCGATGCTGTGGTCCGCCGCGCCGGCCGCGGTGGCCGCCGCGGCCGCGGCGGTGCCACCGCCGGCCGCCGGCGCCTGCGCCGGGTATGGGCTGTCGACGAGCAGGCTCTCTCGGAGAGCCGGGCTTGCCCTGCCCAGAGGGAGGGGAGGAGGGAGCCAGGAGGAGCGAGGAGGAGGAGGAGGAGGAGGAGGAGGAGGAGGAGGAGGAGGAGGAGGAGGAGGAGGAGGAGGAGGAGGAGGAGGGGGAGGAGGGGGAGGAGGAGGAGGAGGAGGAGGAGAGGAGGAGGAGGAGGAGGAGGAGGAGGAGGAGGAGGAGGGGAGGAGGGGGAGGAGGAGGAGGAGGAGGAGGAGGAGGAGGAGGAGGAGCGAGGAGGAGGAGGAGGAGGAGGTGGAGGAGGAGGAGGAGGAGGAGGAGGAGGAGCAGTGCAAACCCAAGACTCATCAACGCAATGATGTTATTTCCACTGAAGGACGTGCCCTGTTGGAAGACAGCCATTTGAAAATCTTAAAGTGTGCCAGAACACCATTCCTGGGACTTCGTCGCCGCGAATCACCGTGACTGTTGCCTTCTGACGATCCTGAATCGTGACAGAACGCGATTCCTGAGACTTCAACACCGCAAATCAACGTAACTGTTGCGCCCTGGCAGTCAGTCTGGCATCGCGCTTGAATACAACTTCTGGAACGTGAACCTTGAGAATCCTTATCCTTCAAAGTGCTGCAAACGCTTAACGCCAACGTGTGCGGATCTAAAGCGAGAGCCGCATTTCAAAAAGGAGCCGCCCCCCGTCCGTGAAGCACTTCCAGGATTGTACGGCGAATGTGCGCGGCGCTATGGCGAGAGCCACATTGAAAAGGAAGCGCCATCCGCCCATGAACATCTAGCATATTGCTGAGGCCTTACGGCCGGTGCCGCCGACCCTGGAGGACGACCGTCATGGGAGAAGAGGGAGGCAGACATGATGGGGGAGGTCGGAATGAGATGCTCTCAAGAGTTTTCGGGAGCAGCACTGCTTTGCCTGGGGGGGGTCCTCAGAAGACTACAGAAACCTTGGCATATTGAATAGGAAGCGCCCTCCATCCATGAAAATATAGCATATGTTCGGCTTGATGGGTCATAACTGGCGAGGAAGTCTCAGGCAGAACGCCAGGCCCGCCCCACCGACACACCTCGGGGTGCGAGAGGGGCGAGTTATGTTTAAGGAAAAGGCTGGAGGAGGAGGAAGAGGAGGAGGAAGAGGAAGAGGAGGAGGAGGAGGAGGTGGAGGAGGAAGAGGAGGAGGAGGAGGAGGAAGAAGAAGAAGAGGAAGAGGGGGAGGAGGAGGAGGAGGAGGAGGAGCCTAGCGTCCTTGTCAAAAACACTTGCAAAGTGGTCGCGGGGCGTCCGCGCATGCTCCAGAGTTGGTCGGGTGGCGGGGGATCATTCATAGGGAACAGTGATCAGCCCCTTCCCGAAGTGGACGAAGGCGGGCTGGAAGAGGAAGCTCGCTCAGCCATTCACACCCCGAGGGCTGGTGGGAATTCATTGGCCTGCGTCGTATCGAAGGGCTTCGGTGGGCAATCACACCTTGGCGCTAACAAACTCTCTGATCATCAGGGACGAGATTCAGCCTCGGTGGCCCTCCAATCAGGAGAGGAAAAAACACACAGACACGATTTATCCTCGATTCCTCAGAAAATATGGGGAAATACGGGAAGTGGCGGGGAAGACAGAAACCCAGAACACATGGGAAAAGATGGGGAAATTTTGTGTTGGTGTGTATTTATTTGTGTGCCCCAGGGCCCCTTCATCCGAGGCCGCCCTGGCAGGCGTGCGGGTCGATCCTGCGCCCAGGGACTATAGGCGCGGCCGCGTGTGCAGGCGGCGCCCCCCCCCCCGACAGGCGGGACGAGGCCAAGCAGAGGGAGCACTTCGAGTGGCGCCCGGCGGCGCGCGGAAGCGGGGCGGGGCTCCGCGGGGCCTCCTCCTCCTCCTCCTCCTCCTCCTCCTCCTCCTCCTCCTCCTCCTCCTCCTGCTCGTCCTCCTCCTCCTCCTTGTTCTCCTCCTCCTTCCCCTCCTCTTTTTTCTCCTCCGCCGAGATCTGGGCGCTGCGTTTTGTCGCACGGAGCGCTGCTGCCCAGCTCCGGGACGCGGGGCCACCGCGGATCGATCCGGCCCGAGGGATGCCGCAGACAGGGCTCTGGTCGTGAGTTCTATGGGATGTTGCAGCTCTTCGCGACGTCGGATCGCAGGGGGAGGACGGAGAGTCTCGGCGCTGCCTCCCCTCTTTGGGGCTCCCCTGGGAGGGCCGTCAAGAGGCAGCGGCTGGACCCCGTCCCTCTCGCGAAGCCACCGGGGCGCGCCGGTGTCGGCCTCACTGGGCCCCAGGACGGTTGAAAGGCAATGCGGGAGGACAGCCCAGACGTGCTCACGTCGAGCAAAAACACGTCGGGCGGTTTGTTGGCCTTCGTCGGCCGCTGGGGGCCTTGGCTGGGCCCCGGGACCGTCCACAAGCTATTGAGGATGAACAGTTGGCCCTGGGGCAAGGGTCTGGACTTCCAGGGGCCCCCCGCATGGAAGCAATCAGCGCGTCGCATGTCTGGGAGGCCGAACCTGGCAAGGGATTCGTACAGGCTTTGGGCTGGGGACCCGCTGCGACCTGCAGATGTGAACCCGGAGGGCCCACGGCTTCGGTGCAGCTCGACAGATTGGCCGGCATGGACCCCGGGAGGGATATGAGGAGGGCCGTGGAAACGATACGGCCGTTTTTTGCCGGTTCCGTTTTGCCGTTTGTTTGCCGGTTCCGACGCCGTTTTTGTTGCCGGTTCCGTCGCCGTTTTTGTTGCCGTTTCTAGTTTCAAGAGACGTTTTTTCGGAAACGATGGAAAAAAACGGCCCTGCCGCTCCTTAGGGGACCAAAAAGTGGAATAACATAAAAACTCGGAGGTCCGCGCGGATTTCTCGGATCAGCGCTGGACCCCCCTCCCTGGCGCGCGGAGCGCGCCAGGAGCGGCGCCAGAGGCGCCGCCGGGGGGCCCCAGCGCCGATCCGAAAAATCCGCGCGGACCTCCGAGTTTTTATGTTTATGTCATTTTTTGTTCCCCTATTCCCGGGGCCCGCTACGGTCTGGGGTCACGCGAGCAAGGCGAGTGTCCTTGAGTGTTGGGCGTCGCCATTTTCTCTACACCGAGAGCCCCGGGGCCCTCGTGGATCGATTTGTGGTTCGAAGAATGCAGCACGAACTTGGTGCACGGGCTTCCAACCCAGACCCAGTAACCCCAAAGGGTCATTAGTAGACCCCCGGGCAAGCCTGGTAACAGGCACCGCGGAGGCCTGAGGACGGAGGGGAAGGAGGAGGGAGGGGAAGGAGGAGGAGGAGGAGGAGGAGGAGGAGGGGGAGGGAGGAGGAGGAGGAGGAGGAGGAGGAGGAGGAGGAGGAGGAGGAGGAGGGACGAGTTTCTGTTCCCCGCCGAGAGCTTAGGGGGGGGGAGTGCATCATTGAAGACCCTCTGCGGTTAGAGGACGAGGAGGTCCATGGAGGGCTTCCAGAGGCTCCCAGGAGGTCTCTGGAGCCCCCAGGCGGAGCTGCCCTGCCAGAGTCCCCTCTGGAGCCCCGAAGGGAGCAACATCAGCACGCACTCCCAAAACATCGAAGGGGAGGGCCCCAGAAAAAGAGAGCGCAGCCCCGGGCGGGTGTGTAGCGCATTCCTCAGGAAGGGAAAAAACACACAGACACAATGAATCGTCGATTCCCAAGAAAATATGGGAAAATCTTGGAATTGGGCGGGAAGACAAAAACCCAGAAAACATTGGAAAATATGGGGAACCTTTTCATTTGTGTATCTATTTGTGTGTCCCAGGGCCCCTTCGATTCCTCTCACGCCTTGCTTCTTCCATGTGCCATCCACAGGCAAACCTGCAGGGGGCGCCAAGCCGCTGGCAGACCGCCCGGCGCTTCATGATTCGTTCATTGGCAGAGTTCCACCCTGTCTGTACGGGGGAGTCCGCGGCGGCCGACGGCGGCGTGCGGTCGAAACTGCGCAAAGGCGAAGAGATCGAGGAGGGCCCTGCCTTCCTCGCGTCGTGGAGACAACGCACCAGCAGGCCTCCGGGGAGCCTCTCTTGGGGCCGCGGCGCCATTGAAGCAGCTGCGCTCGAGACGCGGAGCGGGTTACCCCCCCCCCCAGTCAGGGGCGCAGGCCTCTGGAGAGCCACGAGAGCGACGGAGAGAGGCGGGGCCGTCTTCGCCGACGCTCTCGCGCGAGCTCCAGGAGGGTGTTCCGCGGCGGCGGCCCGCGCAGGCTGCGGCCAGAGGTCGCCGCGCCATCTCGCGCGAGGCCCGCTGCCCTTCGTCTGCCCCCGCCGTGGACAGGTCACGACGCCGCAGGAGAGGAGGAGGAGGAGGAGGAGGAGGAGGAGGAGGAGGAGAGGAGGAGGAGAGAGGAGGAGGAGAGAGAGAGGAGGAGGAGGAGAGGAGGAGGAGGAGGAGGAGGAGGAGGAGGAGGAGGAGGAGGAGGAGGAGGAGGAGGAGGAGGAGGAGGAGGAGGAGGAGGAGGAGGAGGAGAGAGGAGGAGGAGAGGAGGAGGAGGAGGAGGAGGAGGAGGAGGAGGAGAGGAGGAGAAGGAGGAGGAGGAGGAGGAGGAGGAGGAGCAGGTCGGGCCGCGCGGCTGGTATAGCGAGGTCCCGAGGTTTTTGGCCCCTTGAGCGGGCGCGCTCGGGGCCCTCCACGGGCCACGGGGGTCTGTCAGAGCGGGGGGGGGCGCGAGGCTCGAGCACGCCGGAGCTCGGGCTCGCCGACGCGTTTTGACGAGCGCGTCCCGGATCGGTCGCAGGCCCAGAGGTTGACACCAACACCAAGATCGGCGGTGTGCCTCCACCGAGGGAAGACGATGCCGATATCGGTGGTGGTGGTAATATTCTGGCTTCCAGGGTGACCGAAATATTACCACCGACACCGAAATCTAGGATCAGCTTCCCCATGTGGAGGCAATCCCCTGTGCTGGTGTTGGTGCCAATTTCCAGGCCTCCAAGGATTTGGCCGGTTCCGTTTTCAGCGGGAGTTCGCGTGGAATGTCAGATTGGGTCTCGTTTTTTTCAGGATGGCCCCGTCCGGCCAACCCGACTCCCCCGAACCCGAGCCTTACGTCTCCCCGATCAGGAAGCGATTCAGGATGAAGAGCGCGCCCTGGTGGCAGGCACCAGGGCTCAGGACCCGTTTCCCTTTGGACCCGTCTTCCCCATGCTAGATCGGGTCGGGGGGGTACAGAAACTGTTGCGCGCAGCTGGTTTCGGTTCGCTTCTGGGCGCTTCCCTCAATATACATTGGCCACTCTTGCGCCGCGAGGCGCCAGAAAAACAGCTGCGCGAACGAATTCGCTAACCCGCGCCTTTACTACCGGGTCCCCATCTCGATCGTCCGACCGATCCCGAGGGAAGCGGGGTGGGGAGGAGGATCCGCGACCAACGAGAAGTGGGAGGAGGAGGAGGAGGAGGAGGAGGAGGCAGAAGAGGAGAAGGAGGAGAATCCAAGAACAACAGGTTGCATAAGCATCGATTTTCGGAGGCTCGCGCAGATTTCTTAGATCGGCTGCCCCCCCCCCCCCCCCAGCGCGCGGAACTCCAGAAGTTAGCTTATGCCGCCTTTGGCTCCTCAGGAGGAGGAGGAGAGGAGGAGGAGGACGAGGAGGAGGAGCGAGGAGCGAAAAACGAGGAGGAGGAGGAGGAGGAGCGAGGAGAAGGAGGAAAAAAAGGAGATGGAGGAGATGGAGGAGCGAGGAAGAGGAGGAGGAGGAGGAGGAGGAGGAGGAGGAGGAGGAGGAAGAGCGAGGAGGAGGGAGAAGGAAGAGGAGGAAAAGGAGGAGGAGGAAGAGGAGGAGTGGCGAGGAGGAGGAGGAGATGGAGAAGGAGGAGGAGGAGGAGGAGGAGGAGGGAGAAGGGAGGAGGAGGAGGAGGAGGAGGCGGAGGAGGACCAGTGTAAACCCAAGAGTCATTAAAGATGTTGGACTACACCCTCCCTCCAAGCTCCCTCTTCATAGGCCCCTGCAACGCCTTTTTTCCATTGAGGGCACTGCCTCGTGGGAAGACAACCGTTTGAAGACCCTGAAGCATGCCAAAACATTGTTCTCGGGATCCAACGCCACGAACCAAGCTGACTATTGCATTTTGACGATTCTGAAGCGTGCCAGAACGCCACTCTTGGGACTCCACCGCGAACGAACGTAACTGTTGCACCCCTCATACTCCGGAGTCCTTCCAAAACACGATTTCTGGTACTTTGATCATGGGAGCCCGCGAAACTCTTGCAAACTGTATTAACGAATGCGCGCGGCGCTAAGGCGGGAGCCACAGTTTGAAAAGGGACCGCCCTCAATCCGCGAAACTCTGGCAAATATTTGAAACGAAGGTGCGCGGCGCTAAAGCGAGAGCCACAAGTTGAAAAAGGGTTCTCCTCAATCCGTTAAGCTCTTGCGAGCTCTTAGAACGAATGAGCGCGGCGCTGCGGCGAAAGCCACAGTTTGAAGACCACCCGCCCCCAAACCGCGAAACTCTTGCATCTGTTTAAACCGAAGGTGCGAGGCGCCCACAGTTTGAAAGCGACCCGCCTTCCATTTGCGAAACGGTTGAAAGCTTTGAAGTTTCAAGGTCATCGGTGGTGAGGAAGTCTCAGGCGAAACGCCCAGACCGCCCTAAAAACTGGCCTCGGGGTGCGACAGGGAGAAGTTACAAGGTAAAGGAATGGAGAAAGAGGAGGAGGAGGATGAAAAGGAATGAAAAAAAAGAGCGATGAGAGGGGCGAGGAGGCGGAGTAGCGAGCGAGGAGGAGCAGGAGGCGGAGGAGGAGGAGGAGGGAGGAGGAGGACGAGGAGAAGCAGGAGGAGGAGCGAGGAGGAGCGAGGAGGAGCGAGGCTGCGAGGAGGAGGAGGAGCAGGAGGAGGTGGAGAAGAAGGAGGAGAAAGAGGAGGAGGAGGAGGCGGAGGAGGAGGAGCTGGGGGGAGGAGCGAGGCGGCGGAGTGGCGAGGAGGAGGAGGCGGAGGAGGAGGAGGAGGAGGAGGAGGAGCCAGGGAGAGGAGGAGGAGCGAGGGTGGAGCGAGGAGGAGCGAGGAGGAGCGAGGTGCGCGCCGCCGAAGGTGCCTCGGCTTGCAGAGGCGGCGGGAGGAGCTGCTGGACAGCAGGACGGAGGAGCTCCGCGCGACCCTGCGCATGGAGGCGCGGCAGCGCGGGGCGGCAGCGGACGCGCGGCTGGAGGCCCAGCTGCTGCAGATCAAGATGGACGTGATGGGCCAATGCCCCGAACCCCCTCGAGCGACGAGCAAAAATCACGATGGCCGGTGTCTCGCTGTTGTCGGCCTCTGGGTGTCGTCACCCTGCCTCGGCACCGTCAACAAGAAAACGATTCGGGAGGAAAGGCCGGCCCCGTGGGAACGGGTCGAGGCCTCCTTGGGGATCGACTTCGTGAAGAAGGCCTGACGTCTGGGGGTCCTGGCTTCCACCACCAATACCAAAGGTAGGAGGACGGGGGAGAAGGGAAGATGGGGAGGTCCTCCTCCTCCTCCTCCTTTTCCTCCTCCTCCTCCTCCTCATTCTCCCCCTCCTCCTTTTCCTCCTCCTCCTCCTCCTCCTCCTCATCCTCCCTCCTCCTCCTCCTCCTCCTTCTATTCCTCCTACTCCTCCTCTCCTCTCCTCCTTCCTTTTCCTCCTCCCTCCTCCTCCTCCTCCTCCTCTCTCTCCTCCCTCCCCCTCCTCCTTCCAACCGCTCTTCTATCTCTTGTGCCTGTCTCGGCGCGCTCGGACTCGAGTTGGCGTGCCTCCTCCTCCTCCTCCTTTTCCTCCTCCTCCTCCTCCTCCTCCTCCTCCTCCTTTTCCTCCTCCTCCTCAACCTCAGCCGTTCTGGGGCGAGCCAGGTGCTCGCTCTTGCGGGTGCAAACTTCGGAGCGGCGTGCCCCCGCGGGCCGATGGCGAATGGCGTTGCAGGTGGCACGCGTGGAGCCAGCCAGGGTGGCGACCCCTGGACGTGCCGCGCGTGTGCTGCTGGCTACGTCAACATGGCCTGGCGCACGGAGTGCAGGCTCTGCAAAACGGCGCGGCCGCCGCGCGGCGCGGGCACGATCGGCGAGGCCATCGACAAGGCCAAGGCGAAGGCCAAGGCCAATGGGAAGGAGAAGGCCGTGGCGAAGCGCGTGCGCTTTGCCTCGGATGTGCCTGGCCCTGCCGCCGCCGCGGCCACGCCGGCGCCGTGGGCGCAGGGCGCGGCCAAGCAGGTGGCAGAGGAGCGGCCCAGCGGCAGCGGCGGCAAGGACGAGGAGGTTCGCCAGGCCCTCCTCCGCCACTTTGGCCCCAGGGAAGGCTGGTCGGCGGCCCTGGTCCAGGACTTCGGGGCCTTGGTGCCTGTGGTGGACGCGCCGCCGCCAGCGAAGCCCTTGGCCGAGCTGTCGCTCCAGGCCCTCCTGGCCAGGGAGGCGAAGATCAAGGGCCAGGTCAGCCGTGCGGAGGCTGCGCTGGCGGCCGTCCAGGAGGAGCAGGCGGCCGTCGCTGTCCGCGTGGCGGAGCAGGCTGACGTCCTCCAGAAGCGGCACGACCAGCTGGAGGAGGTGGCCGAGGCCGTGCGTGCCAGGAAGCGCGCCGACCTGGCGCAGCACACGGGACCGTCGCCCATGGAGGAGGGCGAGCCTGAGGAGGCCGTGGGCTGCCTGGGCAAGGCGCTGCCCAAGGGCCTCGAGGGCCTCGAGGCGGAGCGGGGGCGGGTTCTCTTGCTCGGGGAGGAGGGCGGCGCCCTGCTCGCGATGGCCGCCGAGGCCCGCAGCCTCGTGGAGAAGCTCGCCGCCGCCGACGCCCGCGCTCGCGAGGCAGCGGCGGCCGAGCGGGCCCGCGCGGCTGCAGCCGCAGCTGAGCGGGCCGCCGCAGCGCAGGAGGCCGCCCCCGCGGCTGATGGCTGCAATGATGGCGCTGATGGTCCTCCTGGGGACCGCAAGCGCGTCGGCGACCTCGACCTCGGCCCCGAGCTCGTCGGGCTCGACGCCGTGTTCGACGAGGTGGGCATGGAGGACGAGCAGCAGCGCGCAGCCTGGCGCGCAGCGCTGGCCAAGCGCCAGCGGGTGGCAGGCCCCGCCTCAGGGTAGCCGCCCGCTGGCGGCGGACGTGGTGGAGCTGGTGTCGGCCAACACCACCGCGTGGCGCTCAGCGCAGTCGCTGGTCGAGTGGCTGCACGATGACGTGGGGCGGCTGCCCGCGGTGCTCTGCCTCCAGGAGCATCGCCTCAAGGGCAAGCAGGCGGTGGCCCGCACTGCGGGCTGGATGCAGGCGCGCGGCTTCAGCTGGCACGGCCAGGCAGCGCTGCCGACGGGCCCAGGGCCGCTGGAGAGCTCGGAAGGAGTGGCAGTGGCCACGCTGCGGCCGTCGGCGGCCGCCGCCGCGCCTGGGCCCCCTGCCCATCGGTTCCAGGTGTGCGAGGTGAACCTGGGGTTCAGGGAGCCGTGCCGCGTCATCTCGGCCTACTTCATCACGAAGTTAGGCAGGGCGAAGGAGAACATCGGGCTCCTGGCGGCGCTGCACGATTTCGTGGGGCAGCTGGAGTCGCCGTGGGTCGTGATGGGCGACTGGAACATGGAGCCCGAGGACGTCCGTGAGTGGGCGCGCAGCGCAGGCGGTGCGCTTGTCGCCCCAGAGGAGCCGACCTGCGGCTCGAAGGTCTTCGACTTCGCGGTCGTCGGCAAGGTCCTCACGGGCTTTGTGGATGCGGCTGAGGTGCTGCTGAGGGCGCCGACGAAGGACCACGTGCCGTTCAAGGTGGTGCTTCGCGGCGTAGGAACCGGCGGCGAAGGTGCAGCGGCCGCTCTTCCCTGCCGCCTTCCTTCTGCCGCTGCCGCCGCAAGCGCGGCCAGCGCCGCTCGAGCGCGCCTTCTCGGCCTGGAGCCCTGGAGGTGGGCAGTCGCTCGAGGAGGGCTGCCAGGAGTGGTTCGAGGCGACGGAGGCCTACCTGATCGACCTCCACGAGATCGCGCCGCCCAGCCGCTGGAAAGGGCGCGCGGGCGGGCTGCGCACGCAGAGGGTCGAGATGGAGGTGGCCTGGGAGCAGGACCGCAAGAGGAGCGTCGGCGCTGCCTGCAGGCGCTGGATGTCATTCGCGGCGGCATGCGCCGCCTTTCGCGCGCTGCAGGAGGCGGCGCCAGGAGGTCGCTGCTGGGCGCCGCTGCGCAAGCAGCGCGAGGTGCCGATGGCGTTCGAGCTCGAGCGGCCTGAGGAAGGCCCGCTGGCTGGGCTGTCGGTGGCCCGCGTGGTGGGCTTGCTCAGCTCCTCATCGCGCCAGCTGGCGGTGCAGTTCGTCCAGGAGGAGGCGAGGCGGCGCTGGAGGCTGGACAAGCAGCAGAAGGCCGCGGAGTGGCGCGCCTGGGCCCAGGCCGCGGCCACCGAGAAGGGCGGCTCGGCGGCCCACCGCTTCATCAAGCAGGTCGCGGTGGTGCCCACGGTGGCGCTCGCGGGCGCGGACGGCGACGACGACCCGCGCATGCCCGTTGCGGGCGAGGCCGCAGTGGTTGCGCTGCTGGAGGCGCGGCAGCCGCTCTGGATCAAGCCGTCGCGTGCAGGCGAGGCGGCGCCCGAGGACTGGGACATCCAGGAGTCGGCCCTGCCGCCGCTGGAGCTCGAGGACCTCGAGCGGGTCTTGGGCACCTACCGCGAGGGGTGCGGCCTTGGGTGGGATAGGCTCCACCCGAAGCAGCTGCTGCGCCTCCCGCGGACCTACAGGCAGCGCTTCCTGGAGCTCCTCATGGCCTGGGAGCGGAAGCCTTCGCGGGAGGCGCTGTGGCAGCTGATCGTGGTGTTCATCCCCAAGGCTGCTGGCGGCCAGCGGCCGATCGGCCTCACGGCCATCTGGCTGAGGGCCTGGAGCAGGATGCGGCAGCCGCTGGTGGCCCGCTGGGAGGCCTCGTTGCAGAACCTTGCCTTCTGGGGCACGTCGGAGAGCCCGTGCGGGCGCGCGGGGGTGGTGCACAACCCCCTGGCGGCCTTTGCTCGCAGCAGAGGCCTCTCGGCGGCCACGGGCGTCACCGACCTGGCGAAGTTCTACGAGCACGTCAGCCATGAGGAGCTGCGCGTGCAGGCGGCCGCCACAGAGTTCCCGCTCGCGCTGATGCAGTGCTACTGCGTGTCGCACCGCACGCAGCGCCGCGTGTCCTCGCGCGGCTCGGTCTCCAAGCCGTTCGAGGCGAACGGCACCATTGTGGCGGGCTGCAGCGGCGCGGTCGGGCTGGCCAAGCTGCTGGTGCACACCCTCTTCGTGAAGATTGTGCGCGAGAACCCTGTGGTGCGCCTGCAGAACGTCGTCGACGACGCGCTGCTGCAGGCGGTCGGCGGC